CTGCAAAATGAAACGGCGTGATTGTAAAGTAGGGTCCTAGCGACCTCAACAATAGCGGCATGAAGCTACTGCGATTTTTACAAACGATGGACTTCCTGTCATGAACGTCCTCTTGAGCATCGGAACCTACACCAGTACACCTGTTACAGGTTAGCTCGTGCACAAAAGTCGATGATCCATTTGGTAATCGCACTCTCTGATTTAGGAACGCTCTGCATTTCCCGTTTGGGTAAATGGAGGCCCAAAACTGTCAACCGATGATCACCCTGTTATTGGCACAGCATCTATATGCGCCGGAATATCAGGCAAAAGCGTTACCGCTGAAGAACCAGAAAATCAAATGAGAAATATTATTTTCAGTAGATATGAGAACAAAAACTGCAAACATTGCACGACAATTTGCAAGGATCCCATTGATAACTACTGATGCGGAAATTGAGTGAAAGCTCAGTTAAGAGCGGTTTATTCAGGACTGCCACAGAACGCTGCGGTTTAAAACAGATGAGCTTGCCTCTTGGAGTTCGAAAACAAACATTCCGCTTAACACGAAAGTTGCAACTGGTTGCAACCAGAAAAATGCTGCATTCAAGATACTGCTTGGGAGCAAAGAATCTTCAACTCGGAAGCTACAGAAAAGAACGCAGTATGACAGCGAAAGCCAAAGCCGATTTCTGGGAGAAGCACGATGAGGTGCTTGAGTCGAATTTCAAGACGGTAAACAATGAATTCTTCAGACCATCCGCCACCTCCAAGGTAAAAGAAGGGCAGTGAGCGAGTCCTAAAAGACAAGATCGAACCTTCTCTTACTGATAATGAAAACATTCTTTGGCGATAAAGAGGCTACGCTGAGTAAGTCACTAACCCCAAACAACCGTACGAAGACTTTCCTGAAGAGCAGCAGGGAACGGATATTAATTTCTCTGCAGATGAAATCACACAAACTGGAAAAACCTGAAACAAGGGAACGGCTGCTGGAATCAGTGAAATCCGCTCTAAGATGCTCAAAACATTAGGCGAGCAGGGAATGCAATGGCTTGAACATATCTGCGAAATTGCAGTGACTACGAGGAAGACACCAGCGGACTGAAGAAACGGGGTTGTTGCACCGCTGCTCAAAAAGGGAGACCACAGAGAGTGCTGCAGTTGTCAGGGCATTACGTTATTGAGTCTTCAGAGTAAAGCCTACACAAAATGGTAGAAAGGAGGTACCGCGGAATGAGTGACACTAAACTTTAAGAAGAGCAGTGTGGATTCAGGTCTGGCCAGAAGCACCTATGGTCAGATATTCGTATTATGCCAAATTGTTGAGAAATTGTGGGAGTTTGGACATTCAATTTACATGTGCTTTATGTGTCAAGAGAAATTCTGTGGCCGGATCCCACGCAACAGCCTATGGCCGTGCCTGCAAACGTATGAGATGAGTGGCCAGTGAGCACGGGTGATCCAATCACTATAGCCCAATAGCAGGTGCTGCGTCAGAGTAAGTGGCGTTAGGTCGAAACCCTTCAACGTTGGCGCGGGTCTCCGCCAAGGCTGCGTCTTGTCCCTTCTCTTGTTTGTGTTGTAGATGGATAGAATAGTCAGGAACTACCAAGGCGATGAGAGTATCGGTATAGGAGATGTGAAGTCGAGAAGGTTGCTGTTGCAGACGGCCTTATTTTATTGGCGTCTTCTGAAACTGACCCACTGTGCTCCCTTGAAAGGTTTTCAGCCGAGTGCGATGTTGTCAGCATGCGTATGGATGTATCTGAAACAAAAATCCTAGCGCTTACTCCTTCTCCTGTCCGTTGCTGTTTTCAGTTCTGCTTGGTCATGCTGACTTAGTGGAAGAGATAGATCGGCTAATTGGAAGCGCCAGCGGCATGCCGGATGAACCAGTTCGAGCCATTGTGACTAAAGATGAGGTGGGCCTGAAGATTAAGCTCTCGCTGTTCAAGTCGATCTTCATCCGTATGCTCATCTACGGCCAGGAGTCGGGGCCCTGGCTGTAAAGCTTCGATCCCTTGCAGAAGCGGCTTAAATGCACATTATGAGTCGAATCGCTCTCTTCACAAGCCTCGGCCTGGTTTGGAGTACCGATATTTGAGATTGCAGTGGTGTACAGTCACTTCTTCTACAGTTTGAGAACTCACAGCTGCGATGGTTTACATACGTGTTTCGAATGCCTCCAAAAAGAAAGGCGAAGCAAGTACTACTTGCGCAACCGCCCGGCAGAAGACCCCGGGGAGAGCCA